TTTTATTTAATTTTTAAAAAATATTTATTATATATATATATTGTTAGTGTTAGTTACTTTATGCTTTACATGTCAATAACTATTCCTATTTGATAGGATGTACTGGCTCAGTTGTTTCCTTATTTTATGTCTCCTATTATGTTGCAGTAACAGCAGTAAAACTGTTGTTATTCTGTTTTGAGTATGTAGGCGCCTTCACACTTAAAAAAACACTGAGTTTTACGCATATACTGAATTATAACAATTGGTATCAGAGCTCCGTAAGGGGCCTGATACAGTGTGAGCTAAACATCAAGTGAAAATTGTGAGTGTGAGTGTACAGTCATGTCTGCTGCAGAAAAGTTCATTCAACCTGTCATTCCAAGATTTGATGGGCACTATGATTTTTGGTCCATGACTATGGAAAATTTTCTACGAAGCAAGGAGCTGTGGCAGCTTGTTGAAAGTGGTATACCAACGTTTGGTATCACACCCACTGAGGCACAACAGAAAGTTGAAACAGAGGCACGTCTTAAAGATTTGAAGGTTAAGAATTTTCTCTTCCAATCTATCAATCGGGAAATCCTTGAGACAATGATGGATAACAGCACATCACAAGCCATATGGAGATCTATGCAGCAGAAATATCAAGGTTCAACAAGAGTGAAACGTGCTCAACTTCAAGCACTACGACGAAAGTTTGAACTTCTAACCATGAAGGATGACGAGCTAGTTGACAGCTATATAGGGCGTACACTTAGTGTCGTCAATAAAATGAAGTCTAATGGTGAAACTATGAACTCCATCACCATGGTTAGTAAGATTCTCATATCTCTAACCACAAAATTCAACTACGTAGTGTGTGCTATTGAGGAGTCTAATGACTTGAATACCCTGAGTCTTGACGAACTCCATGGCAGCCTCCTTGTCCATGAACAACGGATGCAGCACACTCAACTAGAAGAACAGGTATTAAAGGTGATACATGATGATCGTCCCAGTGCTAGTCGTGGTCGTGGCAGAGGAAGTCGTGGACGTGGAAGAGGCCGTGGACGACAGTTTTTTAACAAAGCACTTATTGAGTGCTTTCAATGTCACAAGCTTGGTCATTATCAGTATGAGTGCCCTGGAGTACAGAAACAAGTTCATTATGCAACATTTGAAGAAGCAGCAGAAGATGAAGAGGAGATTCTGTTGGTTGCATATGAAGAGGTAATCCAATCTGGTCAAGAGGAAGACTGGTTCCTTGACTCTGGATGCAGTAACCATATGACTGGTAATAAGCTCTGGTTTACTAAAATCCATGAAGAAGGACTCACTAAGACTGTCAAGCTTGGGAATGACACTACATTGAAAGTAGCTGCCAAGGGAAGCATTCGGGTACACATTAATAATGTAGCTTATGTCATTTCAGATGTATATTATGTGCCGGAACTCAAGACCAATCTTCTTAGTCTTGGTCAACTTCAAGTGCATGGTCTCACCATTCTGATCGAACATAATACATGCAAGATATTTCATCCAGACAAAGGCTTAGTCATCTGCACTACCATGAAAGGAAATCGTATGTTTCACCTGACAGCTTCAATGAGCTCTCAACACTCTAAGTGTTTTCAAATTAAAGATACTACCGTAGAAAAGGAGACACAGCTTTGGCATAAAAGATTTGGACATCTCAATTTCAAAGGACTTACCACACTTGCCAATAAGAAAATGGTGGTTGGTTTACCTTCACTAAAAATTCCTACAACTATGTGCACTATGTGTCTCGTTGACAAGCAACACAAAAATGCTATACCAAAGCAAAGCTCCTGGCGTGCATTCACTAAACTCCAACTGGTGCATGCTGATTTATGTGGTCCCATTTTCCTGCCTCAAACAACAATAAAAGGTATATTCTAAGCTTTGTTGATGATTACTCTCGTAAAGCATGGGTTTATTTTTTACATGAGAAATCAAAAACATTCAATAGCTTCAGGAGCTTCAAAGCATGTGTTGAAAAAGAATCTAGATCGTTCATAGCTTGCCTGAGAACACACAGGGATGGAGAATTCATGTCTAAGGAATTTTCAGACTTCTGTAGACAGCAAGGTATTTCTAGGCAATTGACAGCTGCCTACACCCCTCAACAGAATGGGGTTGCGGAGCGCAAAAACCGCACCATCATGAATGCTGTAAGAGCAGTGCTTCATGAAAAACAAATACCAAAATCCTTCTGGCCTGAGGCTGTCAAATGGTGTATTCATGTACAAAACAGGAGTCCTACCACTGTCGTAGATCATGGAACGCCAGAGGAGATGTGGAGTGGACTCAAACCACGGGTTGACTACTTTAGGGTATTTGGATGCATTGCCCATGTTCACGTTCCTGATCAAAGACGAAGCAAGTTAGATGATAAGAGTCATCAATGTGTTCTTTTAGGCGTGAGTGATGAAACGAAAGCCTAAAACTTTTTGATCCGATTACCAAAAAGATTATTATCAGCAAGGACGTGATATTTGAAGAAGACAAAAGTTGGAATTAGGAAGAAGAAAGAGCAGAGTCTACGCCTACTGCTCTTAATATAAATGGCCAAGATGAAGAAGAAAGTAGCCAAGAAGAAGGAGAAAATGACGATGTAGAGGTCACACCTCAACGTGGAGAAGAAAGTGGAAATGTAGAGCTTACACCTCCAAAGGTGGCAGCCACGGAGCCGCAGCAATCAGATTCCACAAATACTCTAGTTCGAGGGAGGGCGACAAGGACTCGTCGACAACCTTTATGGTTGGGAGATTATGAGACTAATCTTTTAGTAGAAGAGGAGGAGGATCTACTGGCAATGGTGCTGACTGATTCTGCAGATCCTCTCACATTTGAAGAGGCCAAAACTAGTTCAAAATGGCGAGAGGTGATGGATACGAAAATACAAGAAATTGAAAGAAACAACACGTGGGTACTAGTCGATCCACCTGATGGAGTTATACCTATTGGAGTGAAGTGGGTTTTCAAAACAAAGTTGAATGAAAAAGGCCAGATAGAAAAGCATAAAGCCAGATTGGTGGCCAAAGGTTACGCTCAGAAACATGGAATTAACTACACAGAGGTTTTTGCTCCTGTTGCTAGGCTCGATACAGTAAGAGTATTGTTAGCTATGGCTACTCAAAATGCATGGGAAGTCTTCCAACTTGATGTTAAAAGTGTGTTCTTGCATGGTGAAATCCAAGAAGAAATCTATGTTCACCAACCTGTTGGATATATCAAGCAAGACCGAGAGGGACAAGTTTACAAACTAAAAAAGGCCCTATATGGACTTAAACAGGCCCCATGAGCCTGGTACAGCAGGATTGAAGCGTATTTTGCTAAAGAACAGTTTGAACGTTGCTCCAGTGAACACACCTTGTTCACAAAGAAGGTTAGAAACAATATTTTAATTGTTAGCTTGTATGTACATGATCTAATTTTTACTGGGAGCAATAGAGATATTTGCGAAGAGTTCAAACATTCGATGCAGTTAGAATTTGATATGACAGACTTGGGCAAAATGAAATACTTCCTTGGTATTGAGGTATTACAAAATGAAGCAGGAATTTTTATCTGTCAAAGGCGCTATGCACGTGAAATTCTTATGCGATTCAACATGTTGGATAACAACCCTGTCAAGAATCCTATTGTACCAGGAACAGTACTATCTAAAGATGAAACAGGAAGTCCAATTGATGCTACACAATTCAAACAAGCCATTGGCAGCCTTATGTACTTGACAATTACAAGACCAGACTTGATGTTTGGAGTTAGTGTGGTCAGTAGATACATGGTCAATCCTAAAGAGTCCCACTGGGCAGTAATTAAACGTATCTTCAGGTATCTCAAAGGGACCATTGAACACGGTCTCTTTTATCAAAAAGGAAGAAAGATAAATTTCACAGCCTATAGTGACAGCAATTATGCAGGAGATCCAGATGACAGAAGAAGCACTTCCGGATCAGTGTTTATAATGGGAACTGGAGCTGTATCATGGGCTTCAAAGAAACAGCCAGTGGTAAGCCTCTCAACCACTGAGGTCGAATACATTGTTGCAGCACACTGTGCGTGTCAATGTATCTGGCTCAAAAGAATTCTACAACATATTGGAATAGAGGAACAAGAAATCACCGAGATTCTTTGTGACAACAATTCTACTATTCAACTATCCAAAAATCCTGTCTTTCATGGCCGAAGTAAACATATTGCAGTGAGGTGTCATTTCCTCATAGATTTAGTTAATGATCAAATAGTTAAATCAATTTGAAAAAATCATAAACATGCTTGGAGTATTCAAAATTGATAAAGTAAGCTAAGCTTAAGGGATGAATTGTTACTGGTAGTTACTTTATGCTTTACATGTCAATAACTATTCCTATTTTATAAGATGTACTAGGTCAGTTATTTCCTTATTTTATGTCTCCTATTATGTTGCATTAACAACAGTAAAACTGTTGTTATTTTGTTTTGAGTATGTAGACTATAAAAGTCAATGCCTTCACACTTAAATAAACACTGAATTTTACCTGAATTATAATATATATATATATATATATATATATATATATAATATCTTATGAGTAACCGTGGCAGTAGATCCGTTTCCTAAGTTTGGAAATGATAGTTTGAGATCCCAATAAACTTTAAAAAACAACTCATTTTTAATATTATAATAATAATTTTAATTTTTTTATTTTTATTAAATCTTTTAATTATTATTATATTAATAAAAAGGAGTTAGACAGGGGAGTTTGGACGATGGAATGTCAAAATATCACTCCTCTGTAAGTTTTATGATTGTCGAATATATTTATGAATATTTTGCACCATTGATCACCTTCGTAGAGCCCAACAAACAATCATAATCATGTTATCTTTTGCAAATCAATCAGAAAACACAACATACATGCGTAAAAAACACATGAAGTACAGTAACGAATACACAAGTAACTTTCTCCCGCTATAAACCAAGTAGAATTATCAAATTAATACAAGTAAGTATTCGTGTTGTAAGCACAAACTTACATAGAACTTATGAAACCATGACCAGAATCTGGAGGCAGATTGCCAAGGTATGAGGCGGAACGAGAAGAGCAGGCGTAAATAGAGCAGTAGGTTTGCACAGCCGTCAGAACCAAAAATGAAAGAGCCGCAATAGCTGTCAGGATTTTCCATGAAGAATACACGTACTTCTCCACCATCTTCTGTAGCCACTGGCTACTCTCGAACTTGGCGTTGACTTTCTTAATCTCTATTTCCAGTTCAGGAGTGTTGGTAGGTCTAATGGATGTGCTCATCCCATTGAAAAGATCCGCCACCACTTTATTACTGAGCTCAGTGTCAATGATTATTTTGTTTTCAACCAACAGATGCACGTCCTCAGGAGTGTCTATAATAGCTCTCATTATTTCAACGTACCTTGAGAAGATTAAGTAGGTGGGTCTAGTCAATGACTCGTAGGCCATCAAGTTTCTCATTATCACTTCTGAGTTCCCATCCAATTTGATAACTGGCAAAGAGAATTTACAGGTTACCGCGCTGAATTTAAGGTCTTCGATGCCACCTTTCGCGGGTTCGAAGTGGATCCCAGCATCATTGAGTTCTGTAACGGATGGGATTGTTACTGCGGGTCCTGCATCCTTTTTCCCCGAGAATTCCTTCAGTATGTCATTTGTTTGCTTAACCTTTTCGAGGAACGGTGACAATTTGTCTTTTTGAGACTGGGGTAGTACATCAATAGGGCTATCAACCATACTGAGACAGGAAGTTGACAGTTTCACAAAAAATGACGACACCATTTTAAGTATACCATATAGAAAACGTAAGACCCAAAAAATTGGTAGCGAGATAAAATAAACCAAATACCACAAAAGAAGGCATACGACCCCGATAAACACAATTATGTTAAAGCATATGGAACAGCATCTGTTTTGTGTCCCATTATCGCTCTCAACTTGGCTCTCTGCTGCTTTGTTGTCCGTATTACCATCCGGCATACCCGAAGACTCGAGCTTCGCAGACTTCTCTTTATCTGGGCTTTCTGCATTGTCCGTATTACCCTCGGAGATAACCGAAGATTCGGGCTTCGCAATCTTCTCTTTGTCTGGGTTTTCTGCGTTGTCTATATTATCCTTCGACTTAGCTGAAGACTCGGGCTTCACAGTCTTTTCTTTTTCTGGACTCTCTACCTTGTCCTTACCATTGGGCTTAGCAATAGACTTGGTTTTCTCAGTCTTCTCTGTCTTTGGCTGAGGAGGCTTAGGTGCTACCAAATTGTACATAAGATCCAACAAATGATCATGCTTTTCTGCTTTTTCGGAGAGTTTTTCCGAGTTGACGAGTGGACAGTGGTTTTGACAGAAACTTAGCATTTTTGCCCCGAAATCCTGTGAGTGAACTTGGTCTTGGCAGCTGACTTGGTTGATCTGCTCAAGAACATGAGTGGGAATTTGGTTCTCGAGCTTGAAAACGTCCCTGATGATAGCGTCCATGGTTAACTCTACACCAAAAGCGTTTACCAGGGGCATGCCGTGTTTTCCCGTTAAGAAGTAACGGTCTTGTTGAGGTTGCGCATCAACACTCCTCTCAAGTAAAGCCAGCAAGAATAATCCATCGACGGTGATATCATGGAGGAGCTTCTCGTCCTTGTAGTAAAAGGAGTTGAAGGCATCTTGGTGATAGAAAGGTTGAACATCGGAGACGCGGATTTCGAAGGCGTGTTTGCGGATCCTCATTGCTGCAGCTAACTTGAGTTCATCTGTCATGGTGAGGTCAAAACGGTTATGATGGTAGGGTCCAAGGCCCAGAAAGTGAGGGACGAAAGCTTCTGGTTTGCCGCAACTCAAGGATTTCGGGACACGGCACACGCACACTCTCACTGCGTGTTCTTCCGTCGGAACCTTATCATTGATATTTATCACCACTGACATGTTGTCTGTGTTATTTTCTGCGATCTCGGAGATCGTCATGGTTGGGTTTGACAAATTTTTGATTAATTTTGTTTGACACACGCAAGTATATATAGAGATGATGGAAATAGCTTCCCGAACTTGGTATGATTATCACAGGCGTTGACTTATTTAAGTTTTGTAAAATAAATAAATAAAATATATATCGTGTATAAAATTTCATCTTTTATTAATTATATCCTTATTTTTTAACTCATCTTTAAATCTTTAACTTTGCATTTTTTAAAATAAAGGAGAATACTCATCCCATGTATGTATCCTACAGCCACAAAAGAGAATCTATCTAAAAATCTAGTGTCTTTATTAGTGTATATATTAAGAGAGGAAAGTGTTTGGTCTTTTAGCATTGACAAGTTGATAATTATTTATTGTCACCTTAATGAGTTGAAAAACTCACATGACAAGTTGATAATTATTTATTTACTTTTATTAAGTTAAGTTTTTAATAATTATTATTATTTAAAAAATGTTAATTTTATATTATTTAAATAAATAAATTATGCCTATACTAACATATATTAACTTAAATATCATTTAACATATATAATAATTTATGTATACGAGATGTGGATCTATAATTTGTTTAATTTAAAAAGAAGACGAAGACCCGGTTTATTAGGGAGTTTCTCAACCCATACGATGGGGACGCGTGATTCACATGGCAGTAAATATTTTATGAACTTGGGATTACAAAAAGACCAAAACATAAAAAAGAAAGACCTCCCTCAACTTCGTCTCAATGTGTTGAATTTTCAATTCTTTGACTTTGTTGGATACACAAGATAATTATAGTATACCAACTCTTGAAACCCTCCCCATTTATGGATATATTAGTTGTATTTTTTACACGTGAATAATTATATATTTTTTATTACACAATTTAATTTACGTGTTAGTTTGAAAATGCTAATAACTAGTGTTTCGGTGGAATTTCGATCGATTTCGATTCTAAGGGTGTTTTGGTCCTAATAAAAAATTCTACCACGTAAGTTCTTTTTACTTAGGCTAGCATGTTGATTTTCAATCGAAAACGTGTATGAGAATCGAAAACTACAGGATATCGAAAATGCTGTTTTTGGTGTTTTGTATTTAAAGTATCGAAAGCATTAAGACTATCGAATCGAAAAGCAGAATATTAAATTGCGAGGAAATGTAAATTGCGAAAACCCCAAACTTGCATTAATTGTAAATAGCAAGAAATCGAAAACAACGCAAATATAAATGACAAGAAATCGAGATTGCAAGAAAAGTAAATGACAGGAAATTGAGATTTGCAGAATGTTAAATAACAGGAAATCTAAATGCAGAAACTCAAATTTTCATTGAATTGAAATGGACAAGGAATCGAAAATACATAAACATAAAACTGCTGAATTTAAGTTGCGCCAAAGTAAATTACCAAGGAAAATACAGAAAGCGGTAAATGTACTCAGTGAGCAAGGAAATCCAGATTGCCAGAAGCTTCATGGTGTTCGTCGTTTCTCCGGTAGACTTTTCACTACTGATCCTGTTCTCTGCCAATTTCTGCTCCACCATCGACAAGGACTCTATTCACCATCTGTCCTTGGATCTCGATGTTCAGTAATAATGGTTTCAAGTGGAACCTCATTTCCTCAGATGGGGGATCGATGAAAGCAGCGTCTCTATGAGGAACTTCACATGAGGTTTGTGTGACCCATGTTATTTTTGGCCTTATGTTTTCTGAATAGAAGTCATCTTCTCGCTCGACATCTCTTTTTTCTTGGTATTCTTTGTATTCGCTCACATATTCCGCAGGTAAAATTGATATTACCTCGATTTGATGTTCGTCCCAAGTATCATCATTCTTGTCATCGAAAAATTCTCTTGCATAATGACTCTCTATCGGTGCACCATTTTCTCCAAAGTTTACGTAATGATTCCAATAGGGATCCTTCCTCCTCTTCTCCGGGGCCTTCCTCGGAATCTTCTTTGGAATGTTGGGAATCTAGTGGTCGATCCATCATCATACGAGAGTCTTTCGAAAACATCGTTACTTTGAAGTCTACCTCTTCCTCCTCGAGAAGGATACATCTCTCTTCTAATCCACTGCCTCCGATTTTCACTAACACCAGAGCCAACGGATTTCTGCCGACTTTCTTCGATCGTTGGTCGGACTTGTTTGATCTACTTTGTCATTTTTCCTTTTATTTTGGTTCTCGATCTTCTTTATCCGTTCGTTCGAAAGCTTTGGCAGTCGATTTATCGAACACTGCATTACAACGTGGGCATAACGACACATCTTCGTCTTTTTCCTTTTTCCTATTCAAAAATTCAATGAGAGAATCTCCCGATCGAGGGTATATTTCCTTTTCGAACTCTCTCTCGAATTCACTCGGGTCAAATTCCATATCTTCTTCGGACACGTCCATTCTAACGTGCTTAGGATCGATGTCTTCGAGTGACATCTACCATGCCTATAAAGGCCGAATTTGTTAATCGGACATCATCAGTAATGCCTGTTTGGGATTCGAGGTATCCAACTTGGGCCTCGAATGGACTCGTGTCAACTTTCATTGTCATTTCTTCGAACCTCAACCTTCCTTGGTCAATCGCATCTTGGATGGTGTTCCCGAAATGTATACAATTGTTAGTCCAATGTCCATACACATTATGAAATTTGCAATATTTTCGACCATTCCTTTGTTCTCGCAGACGGCAGTTTATGATCATCACTCAACTTAATCTGTTTGTCTTTCAATAAAATATCAAAGATTTTGTCCGCTTTTGTTACATCAAAAGTATATGTTCGATTTGCCATTTTATCTTTTACTTCATTTTTTTGTAGCAATTTACGTGTATATGGAGCCCCTACTTTGAGTTCTGCTAAGTTTACTTTCTCATCGACAGTTTCTTCAATATCATTTTCTGTCATATTATCTGTCTCATATACATCATTTATGTATGCTATTCTTTCCTTTTTTAAAGGTTTCTCATATTTCTTATACCTTTGTTTCTCATACTCGATTTGTTCCACTCTTCTCACTTTATCGGCTAATTGAGCCATGTCATTTAATGGTAAATTGACTAGTTTTTTCCTAATCGAGAATTCTAAACTCGCGAAGCCATTCGACTAATTCATATTCGGGAATTTGAGTGAAACATCTCGATTTCATTTGTCTAAATCGATTCAAATAATCATCTATGCTTTCATGATTGTAGCTTTTTATATTCATCAAGTCGATGAGACTCACTTGAGTTTCTCCTCTAAAGAATTGTTCATGAAAATTTCTTTCCAATTGCAGCCAATTATATATCGAATTAGGTGGCAATGACGTGAACCAAGTAAAAGCATTCTTAGTCAAAGAACTCGGGAAATATTTCATTTTCAATTCCTCACTCATCGCTAGGTCTCCACATTCGATCTGATATCGAGCTACATGCTCGATAGTCGATTCACCAACTTCTCCAGCAAATTTGGTGAATTTGGGTACTTTATATCCTCGAGGCAATTACGTCTCGAGAATCGCATTCGGAAAGGGGGACACAAAATATGTCCGATTAGGTGGTCTAAATTCCATCCCTTGTAAATTCACCCTTTGTCCCAACATATTATTCGATTGTGTATATTTTGAAATCCTTCGTTCAAATTCCCATAAATATCATTCCTCACATGTTGATACTCCTGTCCCATACGCTGCTGTTGATCATTGTTTCTGTTTCTTCTCAATAGATATGGGGGATTAATATTAGTATTCTGGTTGGCATGATTTTCTACCCTTGTTCGTCGAGGCACATCCAATGCATCCCCGATTCGTGACATTTGGTCTGCTAATATCTCAAAACTAGCAGTAGTGTTTTGCACTAATGGACTTAAGACTGTAGTCAATTGTTGTGATAACATGTTCACCATTTCAAAATTACTCTCATCCATTTGCTGTCTAAGTACCCCTAATGAATTACTAGATATTCCGGTACCCATGTTTTCGATAGAATCAAAATTAGATCGATGATAGTCTCTATCGAATACATATCTCCCATGATCTAAGTTTCCCCTATGATCTAGATTTGAAGGTATCTGTTGTATGCCTACATTCTGTCCATTCCCTGAATTCTGGGGGATTACTAAGTTTTGCGACGTCCCTAAATTTGGAGGGATTCCAAAATTTTGTGGCATACCTAGTGTTTGGGATATTCCTAAGTTATATCTCGAATTCCTATGCGTTAAAGAAGTTCCAGCCCCACTTACATTATTAAGTGAAAACCTGGGCGGTCTTACACTCATACGTGGCCCTACATATGTGGTTGTGGGATTTCCTACAGTTTGCATATTATTTGGTATCACCGTACTAGATCCTACTTGGGTGTTTGCTAATGTACTTGAATTTTGTTCACTACTCACAAGTATCGACATGCTCACAGTTGTCGATACTACAGGTATGTTCTCATTATGACTTTGCCCCCCAGTATTTGGTGGGTGTGACCCATTTAATCTCTCACTGTTACCTTGGTTATTTGATGAACTCTGACTCATGACTCTCCCACTCCTTAATCTCATACAATTTCGAACTAACCAATTTTGTGTTTCTCAACACAAGACTCCCCCTACCTGGAGTGCCAATTTGTTTCTGGTGGAATTTCGATCGATTTCGATTCTAAGGGTGTTTTGGTCCTAATCAAAAATTCTACCACGTAAGTTCTTTTTACTTAGGCTAGCAATTTGATTTTCAATCGAAAACGTGTATGAGAATCGAAAACTACAGGATATCGAAAATGCTGTTTTTGGTGTTTTGTATTTAAAGTATCGAAAGCATTAAGACTATCGAATCGAAAAGCAGAATATTAAATTGCGAGGAAATGTAAATTGCGAAAACCCCAAACTTGCATTAATTGTAAATAGCAAGAAATCGAAAACAACGCAAATATAAATGACAAGAAATCGAGATTGCAAGAAAAGTAAATGACAGGAAATTGAGATTTGCAGAATGTTAAATAACAGGAAA